ACCTCCTCTCCCTGTGCTTCCAGCCCAAGAAACACCTAATCTCATTTAGGCTTTATCGGGAGTTAATTGATCCTAACGTGATAAATCAACTCAGAGCCCCTTGGGAAGCAGCTTGGGATCAGCTTTAAGGAGTTACACCAAATCCTCTTTCCGGGTTTTGAGTGAAAGCCTCACTTTAAGTGGCTCTGGGAATTGCTGGTTTGGATTTTAGCTTCCTGCAATTCCAGGGTTTTTCAGGGCTCTACTCACACCTTTCACCTGCCCAGGATTGGCGTTAGGGATCCACAAGGAATTCCGGGTGATTAGCTTCTCTAGCTCTGCTCCCACACTGCCGCCAGGGAAAGTGTTGGTTGTTATGTCTCGCCTTTTATCTCTTGTCACCTCCTTAACGGCCCTTTCCAGCCCTCTGGAACAGCAGGCTTCCCAGCTCCTTTCCCTCCCCTGCTCCATCCCCTTCCCAGCTCCTTTCCCTCCCCTGCTCCATCCTCTTCCCAGCTCCTTTCCATTCCCAACTGCATCCTCTTCCCAGCTCCATCCTCTTCCCAGCTCCTTTCCATTCCCAACTGCATCCTCTTCCCAGCTCCATCCTCTTCCCAGCTCCTTTCCATTCCCAACTGCATCCTCTTCCCAGCTCCATCCTCTTCCCAGCTCCTTTCCATTCCCAACTGCATCCTCTTCCCAGCTCCATCCTCTTCCCAGCTCCTTTCCCTCCCCTGCTCCATCCTCTTCCCAGCTCCTTTCCATTCCCAACTGCATCCTCTTCCCAGCTCCTTTCCCTCTCCAGCTCCAGCCTGGCCTAGGCTTCACATCCATCCCTGCAGGTCCAGAACTGCTCTAGGTAACCCTCAGCCACAACTGAGTCCAGGGAAAACCCCCACAGCAGGAAAACAAAAAAAAAAGGAATAAATCCCATTCACTTCTGCTTTCCTTATCCCACTCGATCACAACTCGCTATAAACCCTGAGGGTGATTTTTTTTTTTTTGTTTTCTTTCATGCTGTTCTCCCTTTCTGAGCCTGCCTTCCCTAGAAAACACACCAGGGATGGTTTTCCTAGGCTGGTTTTCCTTCCTGAAGCGATTTTTTTTTTCCAGGGCAGGAAAAGCCTGGGATCCCAACAGCTACCCCAACACTGGGGCTATTTGGGGGCTCACCCATTCCATCCCTCCCTTAACTAGGATATCCCTACCATCCCTCCCTTAGCTGGAATATCCTTACCATCCCTCCCTTATCTGGAATATCCCTACCATCCCTCCTTTAGCAGGGATATCCTTACCATCCCTGCCTTACCTGGAATATCCCTACCATCCCTCCCTTCGCAGGGCTATCCTTACCATCCCTCCCTTACCTGGAATATCCCTACCATCCCTCCTTTAGCAGGGATATCCTTACCATCCCTCCCTTAGCTGGGATATCCTTACCATCCCTGCCTTGCCAGATATATCCCTACCATCCCTCCCTTAGCAGGGATATCCCTACCATCCCTCCCTTAGCAGGG